GGGGGGGGGGGGGGTTTCTGGGTGTGGGGTGAGACTCGGCGGAAGGGTCTGAGTATGAGGGGGTCTGGATGCATGGGGGTTGGGTGGATGGGGGAGCAGCTCCCTATACAGTGATCCCCCTGCAGCTGAAGACCAATGGGAGCAGGAAGCGCAGGGGAGGAACAGGGGGAAAGAGAGTTTGCAGAGCTTCCTACAGCCAGAGCAGAAATCTGGGGGTAGGTCTGACACGTCCCCGGATGCCGTGCAGGGGAAGAGGAAGTCCTGTCCTCCCTAGCCCAGCAAGGACTAGCAGGTGAGCCTGGTGCAGGGTAGGGTCTTCCTCAGTCCCACCCCATGCCCCACAGTGATTTACCCCTCTGCTGGCTGCCCGGGCACCCAAAACATACTGCTGGGGAGGGTCGCATGACCGCTCTTGTAGCTTCCCTTTGCTTCCCAGTCAGAAAGTCATTTTTCTGCAGGGAAGCAAAGAAATCTGCAGGGGACATAATTCTGCGCATGCGCAGTGGCACAGAATTCCCCCAGAAATAAAGGAAGTCACCTGCAGCATCAAGAGCAAATGAGGTCCATATGTAGTCAAAACCAAATATGTAATAAAAAATTAGTTCATATCAACTCCTATTTTGCAGCGTTAAGCAGAAGAAGTAGCACAAACCTGCAATGGGTAACTCCAGGGCAGAGCATGGAAAACGAGTTAACCATGCTAACAGACTTCATAGGTGGAGGGTTTGGGAACCTACAGAGAGGCAGACACTTTATACAGTTTTCCCAAGGTAAACAGCGTCAGGTATATGATTTTTTGGCTCTGTATTTAGAAAGCCATATCCCCTTTGTTTACTGTGCCACCAATATTTTTTCTCCTGTGAAGAGAGAGGATTTGGTGGTTTCCATGTCCTAAAGCTGATAATGGGTTTTATTGAATGTTTTCTGCCTTCTGTAAGTTTTCACATGGAAAATGATGTGTTACTTAATGTTGTCAGTCCAGATTTTTTTATTCAAAGGCTATAAACTCACCTTCTCTTGTTTGGATTTGGCAATCAGCTCTTCAATGAGCTCCTTGCGAGATTTAGGTTTTTCCTCCTCTTCATCTTGTTCCCCAGTGAGTGCTTTCCTACGAAGGAGACCTCCACTCCCTCCAAAGTGAGCAGCAGTTAGCTCAGCTGAAAAAAGAGAATTGAAAGGATTAATGAATCTATAGATTTATGCTCTCCTTAAGCTGTTGGGGTGCTATTTCCCTATTATTAAGGCACAGGGGAAACTGATGGATTCCATGAAAGAATAAAGTTAACCAAGGTTTAAACCCCATTTCTGCAGATAAAGATTGATGCTTGGCCTAAGTTAAGATAAGGCCTGGTCTACACTACGACTTTAATTCGGATTTAGCTGCGTTAATCCGAATTAATCCTTAACCCGTCCACACAACGGAGCCAGTTACTTCGAATTAAAGGGCACTTAAAATCGATTTCTGTACTCCACCCCGACGAGCGGAGTAGCACCAAAATCGATTTTGTTAATTCGAATTAGGGGTAGTGTGGCCGCACACCACCGAATTAATGTAGTTAAAAACCGAATTAATGTGCTTAGTGTGGCCGCGCACAATCGAATTTATACAATCTGTTTCCCAAATTCGAATTATCTAAATTCGGATTAATCCTGTAGTGTAGACATACCCTAAGACTTTTCAGAAAAGGATTCCCACTATGACCTTGGATTTCCAAACTTTGTTAAATTTCCTTTCAAATACACACAGGCAAAAGGTACTTTTTGATTTAAGACAGCAATATAGCACTTTTTATCTGATGGCCTCAAAGCACTTTAATATATTAATTAAGCCTTACAACACTAATGTGAAGATAAGCATTATTATTCCTATTTTACAGATAGAGCACGGAGAAGTCAAGTGACTTGACCAACATTCCAGAAAAGGTCTATGCCTGGAATAGAATGTGCTTTAATCCCCAGACATTGACTGTGTTTAATTTATAAGAGCACATAAACTTAGGCCTGATCCCACAGATATTTAGAAACAATTAATTGTAAGAACATGAGTAATTCCACTGGACTACAAACATGCAGAAGGGTTTGCAGGACCAGAGCTTCAGACATCACAAGGACATACGCCTCATGAGAGGAACCTAGGATAATATGTTAGCCTCAACAATGGATTTTTTTGCTTGTGTTCACTATCCTAACTTTCATTTAAGACACAATTTGTGTGTTCAGTGCTTTTATTCAACGAGTACCCCAAAACAAAATAACCTGAAAACCTGTTTAAAACAAAATTTTTATGTAAAGTGTTTATAATCTAATGGGCTACAGAATTAAATATCTATTTTTTCTTTAAAGCTATCTTTCATCAAGTTAAAAAGAAATCAGCTATTGTTTTAACATAACTAAGGCCATGATCCTGCAATTTGCTTTGCTCAGGTGCAATAGTCCAATAGGGCTTACACTGCATGAACTCCTACCACTTAACTCATTAGCAGAACATTCACAAACACAATTGTAAGAGGTGTGCACATTTCTATTGACATTAAAGACGCAGATAAACTAAAGGAAGTAAACAAAAAGCAGCCAGGTTGGCTTTTACCTATTTATCTACCCAAACATCGTGCAAACAACCTTTATTCAGTGAGCAATATTTATTTATATATGTAGACCTCTCCAAGCCAAGGGAGATACTTGCATAAATATAGATTACTCACATGAGTAAAGGTTGCAGAAACTAGCTCCAGATTTGCCAAACAGAAAAGATAAAAATCAGTATGGAAAGAATTTTAATTTACATCTCCTATGAACAGCTATACCCAAATGTCTAGACTGCAACCCCCTTACTCACATTAGTGAGCACTTTTTGACACAAGAAATCGCACTGACTTCAATGAGACTATTTGCATGAGTAACTGCTCACTATTGTAAGTAGAAGGTTCATGATCTGGTCCAAAGAAATGTGTAACACAAAAAAAATTTAAGTTATTTGTTTTAACATGAACAAAAAAATGCATTTTTCCCCTAACTTGTTCTGAGAAATGGCTGCCCTGTTTGTGCTGAAATTTCCCCTTCCCAAAAAAAACTATATATATAGATATATAGATATATATATATACACACACACACACACACACACACACACACACACAGAGCATGGAAAATTTCAGCCCATATAGTGGAAATATGGTAAAGTTATAAAGCAACTGAAAATAGGGTCTTCTTATAATGGAATGTATCAGGCAGCCTCAACTACAGGTGTTCCTATTGGTGCCACCTATAATGTACCATACTTGCAAGCATCCTGGCATCTCTAAATAGTTGATTTTAAACCAGAGTTCATTTTAATTCTGAATGCACTTACTTTAACGATAATCCATATGTGAAAAGTCAATTATGATGTGATGAAATATTATACATATTTCTTAAAATCGCGAACGGTTAAAAATTACAACATGATATTGGCACGTATCCAGTTCTAATCACCACTTTCTATCAGACTAAAGAGAACAGAGATTTAAATCTGAACATTTTCTTTACATTATTTTTTCAATGAAAGCAGGGTACACAACAATTCACACAGCTATATTAACAATGAAAATTACATTGGATAAAAATGTATTAAGGTATCAGTTTGATTTTTCTTACCTGACAATATTCCTCTTTCTTCAGTATCACTGTCGCTATCAATAACATCATTAAGTTTTTCAATATCTGCTAAAGATTGGCCATAATGGGTCAATTCGTCATCTTCATTGAGATTATAGATACTTTTCTTTTCATGATTTTGCTGTGAAAAATAATCAAACCAACCAATTTAGTAATGAGACATTTTTCAGATTAATACCAGTTAAGAGAGAGCACAGGAGAGCCCTATTTCACTTCTCTGTTATTTTAACAGCATTAACAAGCCTACAATTTCATTCAGATACATTAAAGCGAGAAACGGTTAGCGTCTCACAACAGTTTTTACTCTCCATTAAATCCATTGTAAAAACTACAGAATTACAGTGTTGTGAGTAAGTAAGTGGTGAATCAGGCACAGTATTCTGGGGAAGGGCGTTTTTATTAGTTAAAAAATGACTGGTAAAATTACTAAACAAGCAAGCCTAGATTTTGTGTATGTAAAAAGTAAAAAAAAAAAAAAAAAAGTTTTTTTTTAAATAAAATGTTTCAAGCTTAATAACCACTAAAAAATTAGTTAACCTTCCCAATAACAATCTTATTCCTAGAATTTTCTGCACATGCAATCATGCTGCTTAACTCAGGAGTCCAAACATGATGTAGATGGAAGTAGTATTCAAAACCGATTCCATTTCTTAGAGCAGAGGTCCCCAAACTATGGGATGCGCTCCCCTAGGGGGGCACCGAGGAATGTTCGGGGGGTGCGACTCGGGCCTGGGCCAGCCCCCACAGGGGGTGGGGAGGGAGCACCACCGAGCTTTGCTCCTGGCCTCGGCTGCTGGCCTTGGCTCTGCTGCCGGCCCCGCCCCCAGCTGTGGCCCCAGCCTTAGCCCCCTAGCCCTCTCTTCATATCCTCCCCTCTCGGAGCCACGGCCCCACTCCTGGCGAGGGTAAGGGGGGAGAACGAGGTAAAAAGTTTGGGGATCACTGTCTTAGAGTGGTAAGACCCTAAAATGAGCTTCCTGGGCCATCAAGGGAAACGGCCTTTTTCAGGAGTATCGGTAAGAACATGAAATAGTGTTTAATGACAGTTAAAGGATTTACATTTTGTGGGAATGAAATTGGATTTGTGGGAATGAAATTGGATTCTGTCTAGTTTAACCCCCAAAATCACAATTTTGTAAATGTTAAAATAATTCAGTTTTAAAATCTTTATTTTGGATTGGGCTGGTCAAAGATTTTCTGGGCAAAAACTTTTTCAATAGAAAAATTGATTTTTGACAAAACAGTTTTTTCATCAAAAATGTCTCCTTTACATAGAAAATTTTGATTTTTCATAAAAATCCTCAAATCCCCGACAACCAAACTATTTCAGTTTTTGGCCAAATTTTTTTGGTTTTCTTATTTCCACCAAAAATTCTGAAATTTTCAATATTTTTTTTTAATGATCTCTAATTCTGGAATTCATTTAGATTGAATAAAAGATGCAGATAGGCTTTCAGAAAACAGAATGTGTGGGAGTAAAACAATGAAAGTCAGGTATGGTTGCCATGTTATAGGTTTTGGTAGAATCCTTAGGGGCCAAGCAATGTATTATTTACAGAAAGCTTTATTTGGCAAATTAAAAATTTCTACATCTATTTTTTTTAAATTATTTTTCATTCCTATACTTTACCTGTCGTTCCAAAGCGAACCTCTTCATCATCTTCTCCTCTGGGCTTATTTTGGTATTATATTCACCAAAACGCTTATCTTTAAATACATTGGACTTTTCCCGTTCTTTGTATTCTTTCAGCAAAGTTTGTGTACGCTGAAAAACAGATCAATGCATTAACTTAACAAAAGCACACCTGAAGCCAATGAATTAAGGTCTAATTTATTCAAACACATACACACACTGAATATGAGAACACTACTGTTGAATATAAAAAGACCAATTCTAATCAATACCGTAAATTTATTTTTTTTACCCTTATTTCATTCAATGATTAGTATACTTTATTATACTCCTAAAACAACTATAAACAATGCCAATGAAGAATTGTCATCTCAGTCCAGCTCCTCGTGTACAAGAAAGAATCTATCTATCTATCTATCTATATATATAAAACCTCAGAATACTAGCTGAAACAATTGTTGGCGGCCTCAGAGGAGAGGTCAGTAATCAAATAGGTATAGATACTGAGCTACCTATTCCACCCTGAAAGCAGACCCTGTAGGTCAGCAGTGAGGTATATTTGGAAGGTCAGAGTAGGAAAATTTGGCAGGCCAGTGTGGGGATGTCTATATTGTATCTGTTTTGCAGATAAATAGAGAGCTACACCTCTTTCTAGTGCTGTTAATACAGTATCTTATATTAGGACCTGATTTGACTTTTTTCTTAAAGGGAAAAAACCCTCAAGAGCTTACTAAACAAGACATTTAGTTTTCCAGTATTAACCATTTTAAAGTTTTGTAAAACCTGGGCCAATATTAAAGCAGGCGGGAAACTAATTTACCATCTCTTGCTCTCACATTGCAATATCACAACCCAGGGGTCGGCAACCTTTCAGAAGTGGTGTGCCGAGTCTTCATTTATTCACTCTAATTTAAGATTTTGCGTGCCAGTAATGTATTTTAACATTTTTAGACGGTCTCTTTCTATAAGTCTATAATATATAACTAAACTATTGTTGTATGTAAAGTAAATAAGGTTTTTAAAATGTTTAAGAAGCTTCATCTAAAATTAAATTAAAATGCAGAGACCCCCCAGATCGGTGGCCAGGACCCAGGCAGTGTGAGTGCTACTGAAAATCAGCTCGCGTGCCGCCTCTGGCACGCGTGCCATAGGTTGCCTACCCCCGTCACAACCCATACATTTTCAGCAAGCTGGCTATCTTCAATATTAGGTTCAAAAAGGTCAGCGGCAATATAAAACGTTAAAAAAATGTTTAGCTGATTCCTGGGGAGAAATACTATTGTTTATTATTATTATTATTGTGAACTCTCAAACTACTGTGGACAGCAAAATAGCTGAAGTTTCTAGCTATAGCCTTTTACACCCATGTCACAGATGCAGAATCTGCAGATTACTAAACAATGGAAGTCTTACTTCATAAGACTGTAGAATTTATGTTCCCTTTCCATCCGTTTATTTTATGTCCATGTATATAATTTTCAAGGAATTTTTAACAAGATGCAGTTTCTCTTTGTAATATATTTAGGGAAAAACAAAAACAAAAAAACACTTCTCCATCTTGACACGTATTACGCAGACCCTTTCATTGATTACCTTTATTTACAGTAACTTTATCTCATACAGGGCTTCTCAAGGGTTTTCAAAGTATACACAATGATAAATTAAACAACAGTTTCCCCTGTGCTCTAGTATCTCTCAGATAGATTTATTTTTCTTTTGAAGGAGATCTCTAAATTCTGTTTGCTGATGGATGGTATATACCAGGGGTGGCCAAACTTACTGACCCTTTGAGCTGCATACAACAATTTTCAGAAGAAGTTCAAGAGCTGGGGTGCACCTGCTGGGGCTCGGGGCTTCAGCACTGCTCCAGCTGAAGCCCCAAGCTCCGGCAGGCGCCTCCTACGGGACTGAAGCCCTGAGACCACCCCCATACTTGTTGGGCAGAAGAAGCCACAAGCCCCATCACCCCCCCACTGCAGGGCAGAAGCCCTGAGCTCCCCCAGTCTGCTAGGTGGAGAATGGGGGAGGGCATACGGGCTCCGCGAGCCACACTTTAACTGTAAAAGAGCCACATGTGGCTCATGAGCTGCAGTTTGGCTACCCCTGGTATATACATAGCAGGAAAGTGAAGGAAAATAAATTTATTTAACATAGATTCAATACAATCCAGTACTGTATTTACATCACTCATGCTGTACTTGCAGATTGGGAAGTACTTTTGGTGCCTTCAGTAAGGGATGCATCAGATTACTGGGCTCCCAGACATATAGTATGTATGTAGTCAAGATGCTCTCTAATGTGGTGGTGCTTTTGGCTATGGACTTGGTGTCAAGTCAGAGTAACCACTCTGATTTTGCTGTCTGTGGCCTATTATTTATATATTACAGTAGCATCAAGGAATCCTAATCAAGGAACAGGCACTATACAAAGAAGTAACAAAGAAGAGAGTCCCTTCCCCCAGAGTTCACAATCTAGGATGCAGAGGATGCACCTGACAGATGAAATAAACAAATTGGGTAAGGGTAGTTTGATAGATAAGATTACACAGAGTTTAAAAGAAAAGCAGAAGTCTTATCTCAACACTTGCCTAACTATTTCCTTTCCAATGATGGGAAACTTTAAAGTAAAGGCAACCTGCGGCGCGCAAGCTGATTTTTAGTGGCACTCACACTGCCTGGGGCCTGGCCACCGATCCGGGGGGCTCTGCATTTTAATTTATTTTTAAATAATTTTAAATAAAGCTTCTTAAACATTTTAAAAACCTTATTTACTTTACATACAACAATAGTTTAGTTATATATTATAGACTTATAGAAAGAGACCTTCTAAAAACGTTAAAATGTATTACTGGCAGGCAAAACCTTAAATTAGAGTGAATAAATCAATACTCGGCACACCGCTTCTGAAAGGTTGCCGACCCCTGCTATAGAATCCTGAGTTCAAACAGTTTGCGTACCATCATTTGCACAATCTGTGGGTGTGCACCACCACTGCCCCCCTCTGGCAGCGAGGGCTTACTCCAGTGGTGGGATCCACACCTTGTCCTCATCTGATGAGTGCCCTCCCCTCAGTCTTACCTTCTTGACAGCCTTGGACCGCGAGACGCCCGGCAGCCCCACGTCGTGTTTGGTTCTCCTGCCCAAGATATTAAACTTCTGCTTGTTCACCTTCACTTCAAAAGGGTTGTTCTTGACCAACGCTGTCCCTGCCCCACTGGGGCCCTTGGCCCTGGCAGCCACTTGGCCCTTTCTCCTCTGCTTAGTTGGTTTCCCCATCCTAGTGTGTGGGTGGGGTCAATACTCACTCAGCAGCATAAAGAACCAGGACTACGGTCTTGTACAAGCTCCTGGGCTAGAGGGAATGGGCCTGGGGAGCGAGCCACGCTAAACAAAATGGCGACCGGGGGGGGGGGGGGGGGGACCTTAAACTGCCCCAAGCTGCCCCCTGGTGTCTGAACGAACCACCTCGCGCGAGAGCTTCTAAGTATCGTGAGATCTAAAGGGGCGACCAGGATCCCTAACAAGCCTGTCCAGCGTCTCTACTGACTACCACTCATATTACGTACAGAGTACGCTAAGCAGCAACGCGGCCACACCTCTCGCGAGAGGTGACCCCGACATCCCGCGGGATTTAGTGATAGTAGCGGCTAGGCTCTGTAGGAGAAGAGATCGGAGCGGTATGAACTACATGACTATATATCCCGGCATGCAATGCTCCACCCTTGCGGGTGAGAGGTGAGGAACTATCAATCCCAGCAGGGAACACCCCACCGAGCGCGCGCGCTTACTACTCTCAGCTACCAATGAGCCAGCTTTGACGCAGGAGGTCGCCGGGCCGGGGGAGCGCATTGCCTGCTGGGAGCTGTAGTCTTCGGGGCGGAGCTGTCAGGGGCGAGAGGCGGGGGAGCGCGGCATAGTCCTGCCCAGTGTGGGCAGGCCCCGCCCGTCCCCTTTCCCCGCCCTCCTGAGCAGAGGAGGGAGGGGGCGGTGAGTGAGTGAGGAGTGAGTGAAGGGGGAGAGGAGAGCCCAGCACTAGCCCTCGGGGCCGGATGAGTGGAGCCCGGGTGTCCCGGCGGTGGCGGGGCAGGAGGAGGGGGCGAAGGAGGTGGTGGCTCTGAGGGGACAGAGGGCTTGGTTGGAGCCCTGATCATGGAGATCGAGAACATCGTGGCCAACACGGTGCTGCTGAAAGCCAGGGAAGGTGAGCGCAGGGGAGGGGGCGAAGAAGGGATGTGTGCGTGCCGAGGAGGGGCTCTGAGGGGACCGGGTGCTGGGGGAGGAGGGGGCGCTGGGAAACGACCAGGGCAAGAGGGGAGGACTTAGAGTGAGAAGAGAGGGAGGCGGCAGAGGGGAGCACAGTGCCAGGGGAGGAGGAGAGATGGGGACTGAGGAGAGAGGGTTTGGGGAAGGGGGGGACTAGACAGGGGTAGGGAGCGGAGGGGTTGGAAAGAGAAGCCGGGGCTGGGCGAGGAGGAATGGCGTGGGAATGAGGGTGGGGAAAGGAACCAGCGAGTGGATAACGGGGGTGAAGGTAAGATGTGGGGGTGACGGGGGTCGCTGTCAGGGCTAGGGAGCGTCGTGAACGGAGAGGAGAAGCTTGTTCCTTAACTTCACCAAGGTAGGATGTAAACATGTAAAATAGAGGCACCTGCCAAAGCTCCCTTGTTTGGGATTAATTGTAAACAGTTTTTAATGTTTCTTCGCTCTCCCACTTCCCTGGGTGCAAATGACTTTGCCGGATGTTTCAGAGAGATATTTAACCGTATTCTTTAATTCAAAAAGTGACTATGGGAAGGTGGGTTACTAGCAGGAGGACACTCCCTATTCAACTGAAATAGGCTCTAACTTTGTCAAAAACTTTAAGAAACGTTTGCCTTGTCCTCAAAATCCCTGGCAACATAAAAAGTAACTGATGAATGCCGCCTGCAGTTTCAGGTTGAGTGTCTTACATTGCTTGGTATGAAAGTGTCTGACTGTATAACTGCAGAGACTCTCCTAACTTTGAGATGGCTTCTCCAATGAGCAACCATATTTTAAATAAGTCTGAAATCTTGTTCTCTCAAATCGTTTTTTTTTTCCTGAATGCACAGTTGCATAAGTGGCTACATGAAAGCCTCCCCAGACTTGCATAAGTGGCTGCATAAAAGCTTTCAGACTACCCTCTGCTCTTAGTAGATCCTTGCTCTGAGCTCCACTGTTCTTCTTCTCTTTGGACCTGATCCTCCTACTTTTAATTGCATTGGGTAGCTTACTGAGTAGCCCCACTGATTTCAGTGGGATGACTCAAAGTGAGTAAGGGTGGAGGAATCTGGCCCTATAAGTTTTGCAAGTCACTCCCACTCTAAATAAGTTTGGCATGTATACTGTATGTGTATCCGGTGAAATCTGTCTTAAGCTGCCTGAACCAAAAAAATAAAAAAAAATCAGTCTTCAGCTTTGAAATTGGGTTTAGAAAGTAGAATAATGATCACAATGTTGATACATCTCCCAATGTTAGTTAAAAAGACCGCCTCAGTCTAGATGAGTGATATAGTTCCACTGACAATATACATCTGTGGTGTTGCAGCCTGGGTTTGGAGTTTGCATTGGAATGATCTAAGAAATGGGGAGAGTGTGGGCAGCACATGGGCACAGTAGAGCTTGGAGCCAGGTCCCACTAAGGATAGAGTGGTAACTGGGAATACTTTCAAGTGGCTGCTTAACATAGGGTTGCCTCCTTAATTTAGATTCCACTATATATAGAATAAATTATGATGGTATGACTGACCAAAATGAGTTTTTACTGTACTCTCAGATGTATAAGCAAAAAGAACGAGGAGTACTTGTGGCACCTTAGAGACTAACAAATTCATTTGGGCATAAGCTTTCGTGGGCTAAAACCCACTTCAACAGATGCATGCAGTGGAAAATACAGTAGGAAGATATATATACACCGAGAACATGAAAAAATGGGTATTGCCATACCAACTCTAACGAGACTAATCAATTAAGGTGGGATATTATCAGCAGGAGAAAAAAACCTTTTGTAGTGATAATCAGGATGGCCCATTTCAAACAGTTGACAAGAAGGTGTGAGTAACAGTAGGGGAAAAATTAGCATGGGGAAATAGTTTTTACTTTGTGTAATGACCCATCCACTCCCAGTCTTTATTCAAGCCTCAGATGTATAGTTTTACAGCAGCTGGCTTGATGTGACCAGTCGTACCCAAGATTAAATTTATTGTGAGTAGTAATGACAGTGCGTAAACATTATGTTTCTATCTTTCTCCCTTTTCTCCTTAGATAGATATGAGCAAGTACAACATATTTTGGCTTGGAATCCTTATCACTTGATTAGTGGGGGAGTGTCTTATCTTCGGTCTTTTAGGTCTCTGTCCTGGAGGCATCCTGATGTGTCTTACATTTTTCAAAGTGCTGCTCAAACAGTAATGTTTTTGCCACATGTGGAGTGCACTCATTGGTCCTGGAAAGATCTCTTTCACTGCTTTAAACAGGAACAGGGTCAGCTCCAGGCACCAGTGGAGGAAGCATGTGCCTGGGGCGGCACATGCTAAGGGGCGGCATTCCGTCCATTCTTGGGGTGGCACAGTCCG